CTCCCACAGAGACTCTCTCTCTCTCTCTCTCTCTCTCTCTCTCTCTCTCTCTCTCTCTCTCTAACGGACCAGTGAATCCACACTAGCCTGAATGGGTTCAGCATAAAACACCTCTGCTTGAATGCTGGTATGCATCTAATATGCAATGCTTGCTTTTTTGAAAATTTTCTCCCCGGCCCTATAGGCTGAAGTCATCTAATTTTTAGTTGGATGCATGGATGATGTCATAAAACGTAATGCCATATAGTGTTATGTAATGTTCGTTCTCTTTGGACAGAGTGGGGGCTGTTATGCTCCCACAAGAGCAAAGCACATAGCATACTTGTAACGGGGCTGACGAGACGTGAGACGTGCGGATCCATGTGCAAGCTTTTATTTAGAGCAGAAGAGGTCAGAAACACCGGCAGGGTTGAACAATGGCAAACAGGTATATGGCGGGCAAGACACAAGAATAATCCTAGGGCTAGCGAAGGTCAACGATCGGCGAACAGAATCAAAAGGGCGAGACTAGAGGGATAAATCCAGGAAAACAGGCAAAGATCAGAAACCAAGAAAACAGACAGGGCAAGACTGGGACAGGGACTGGGACTGGGACAGGGACTGGGACTGGGACACTAACGAGGGCTCTGTAAGGTAGCTATCACTGCTGGCGATAAGCACATACAATACTCGGCAGCTTACGGGGATCAGAGTGAGAGTATACTGTATATAGGGAAGGTGTGATTGATGACAGCTGTGTGCAATCAGTGCTGTGTGCAATCAGTGCAATGGATGGTGGGATATGTAGTCCGGGATGACAGGCAACAGTTTGTGTAGTGCGAGAGTCAATGTAATGGAAGGGTGACCTCTGGTGGTGATTGAACGGAAGTCCATGGACAGGATTCGTGACAATACTGGTTGCACATGCTTTTACACACAAACACATCCCCTCCCAATTTCTCTCTTCTCTGTCTCCCAAAGCCTTTAAGGTAAGACAAAGGAAACCATTATCTAATTTTGAACCAAAATAAAACAACAAATAGATAAGCCACCTGTCTTTGCAGACATTATATGCTAATTGAGTGCAGACTTTTTACATTTAAATTTTTCATATAAATATGTATATAAAATAAAATGTTATGTGCATATAATATATCTACAATATATGCATCTATACATATAGAATCAAATTGTCTGATTTGTTTATCAATTCCATATATAAATTAAATATTTTGCTACATTAAAAAAAATTTAATCAAGACAAAATGTCTGATTTGATAATATATATATACATATATATATATATATATATATATATATATATATTAAAATCAAAATGTTTTGTTTTATATAATAAAATTTATTTTTCTTCAAGGCAAAATGTCTAAATTGATCATCATTTCTATATTTAAGAATTAGTATGTGAGGGCCTGTCATTGACTGGCTTTATCACAGTCATCCGTCCCTAATGTATTAAGCAGTTAATGCAGTGTAAAGCATTAGTTTGCCATTACATCACTAGAATCTAAGTTTAACATGTGCTCTCTGCCGCCTCCATTAGAGGCTGAATAAGCTGGTGATGAATTATAAATAAATGAAGTCCTCATCTCTGAGCTGGGTCGTCCAGTCCCTCTCCAGTATTTTTATTTTTTTTCCCCTGTGACCTGAGTTCAAATGGCAAACCTCCAATGGAGACTATGATGTTGAATGTTTAATTAAGGCACATACAGTCAAGGTTATTGTATATTTTGATGCTTATGTAATAGGTAATCATATATGCATGACAGTCCAACAGTATTTTTCCCTTTCCCTCTCCTCTGTGCTGTCAAGGACCAAGCATGTTAACATCACATTGGTGTAGATTTATAATGTCACACATCTGGTGTTATAGAGTATTCTTGATGCTTTCTGTTGTCTTCCACACACATCTGCTGTCTCAATATAAAGTAATACTTTAAAATCAGTGAGATATTTTGTTAGAAAGTATTTGATGCAAATGTATGCAGCTTTGTTTTTCCTTGCAAGTTTATTTCAGATCACTGCATATAGAATCCCATTTCCGCCACAGAATGAAAAAAAAAGAATTAAAACTTGTCTCACTATTCAGACTTTATTTTTTGCAATTCCGAGTTTACATCAGCCAATTCTGACTTAATTTGTTTTGCAATTCTGAGTTTAGAGCTCCTCATTTTGAGTTAGCATTTAGCAATTCAGATTTTTTTTTTTTACAGAAATGCTAGTTTGCATCTCACAATACTGACATTTGTATTTGAATTTTGAGTTTCTGAGAAAAGTCAAAAGTTTGAGATAGTACACTAGATGTTTAAGGAAAGTTCGAGAAAAATTAAATTTGACAAAATAGAAAATTCATTAATTTTGAGATGTTAAGTGAAAATTGTAAAATATTAACTTTTATATTGTAAAATATAATTTTTTTTTTTAAATATCATCTCATGTTTGCTTAACAATTGTGGATAATATTCATCCCTACAATCATTACAGAGAATTTTTACCATGAAGCAGGCTGTTCCACGATCAGATTAAAAATATTAGACCCAACAATGAGACTAGTCTCTTCACAAGCTAAACTCTACTGCTCTCCTTGGCACTTTTCCTTTTGTGTCTCTCCCAACGGTGCCCAAGTGGAAAAATACCATAGTCTCTTAGGAGGGAGTGCTGAAAGGCTGACGGTTGCTCCAGTATAAAGTTGTAATGTTGGTAGGCGCCTTGTTCAAACTGCACAATGGAGAGGCA